GGTCAGCTGCCTGTGGATCTGTGCCCTTAACAGCCTGCCTGGTGGCTTTGCTGGACGTTTGAGCCCACCATTTGACAGAAGATCAGTGGGTTAATACCATGGCAATAGCCCCATATGTACCTGGTATAGAAGGGAAAGAAAAAGTGAAGAGTAGATTAATAGTATAAATTGGAAGGCTGCAGTTTGTTATAGCAGGGAACCCACTCACAGCAAAAAATACTGGACTCAAACAAAGTTAACAAGTATGATACGTTGAAGCTACTATCCATTGCAGATTTACATTCTATGGAGTGTATGAAGCCATTCTCTGGAAGGCTCTGGCAACACCCACTGTGTTTTTGGTTGCAGCCATTCTCCTCACCTTCAGTGCTGAAAAGCAAAGCAGCAGTTTACTCCGCTCTTGTAAGGCCCCACCTGGAATACTGCGTCCAGTTCTGGAGCCCACATCACAAGAGAGACCTGGAGAAGCTAGAACAAGTCCAGAGGAGGCCACCAGGATGATCTGAGGGCTGGAGCACCTCTCCTATGAAGACAGGCTGAAAGAGTGGGTGCTGTTCAGCCTGGAAAAGAGAAGGCTCTGGGGAGATCTTATAGCGGCCTCCCAGTACCTGAAGGGGCTACAAGAAAGCTGGGGAGGGACTTTTCATAAGGGCAGTTAATGACAAAACAAGGGGAAATGGGTTTAAGCTGAAAGAGGGGAGGTTTAGATTAGATACTAGGAAGAAGTTCTCCACTGTGAGGGTGGTCAGACACTGGAACAGGTTGCCCAAGGAAGTTGTAGATGCCCCCTCCCTGGAAGTGTTCAAGGCCAGGCTGGATGAGGCTTTGAGCAACCTGGTCTAGTGGAAGGTGTCCCTGCTGATTGCAGGGGGCTTGGAACTGGATGATCTTTAAGGTCCCTTCCAATCCTAACCATTCTATGATTCCATTCTTTCTTTAGAGTAAAACATTTGGCTTATTCTATGAAAGGACATGGAAATCCAGGAGCTCAGATTTGAGTCTCATTACTCACTCAGTATGGAAGGGGTTAGTTCCCACAGCCAGCTGTTCACTGTGCTCATTTCAATACAAATCAGTAACATTTTAGATAGGTCCCAAGACTTTGAACTTGAGAAAGGAAAAAATAGCCAAGCCAGTGGAGTTCTGAGATTTTCAGACCTCCTGTCATTTTCCACTCAAGTCTTGCAATGCATTCATTGTTGCTTAGGATTAGGGAATAGTTGTAGAGAGAAGTAACTTCCCTGTAGGAAGACCTTTTGGCTGTGTAGTTTCTGCACCTACAACTGGTAAGATGAGGTAGCTAACCAGCCTGTGAAAGCAGAAATGGCAGCACAAACTCAGAAGTCTGGCTTGTAACTGAGTCTTTTCGGCCAGCAGTACGCTGCTTGACACAGGTCACTGCTGGTGTGTGTGTGTTAGCATACCTTGGCAGAGCTACGAGTCAAAACTTAACTGTTCTTTTATTCCTTATTTCTGAAGTCTGTCTATCCTGTTTATACTAGTATGGCAGGATTTGGTATCAGCTTGTAGCTGTCACAGATTAAGGTTGCATGAGGCTTTTGGGGTGCCTCGATCAAGATTTGAACATACTGTAGGGCTTAATATTTCCATCAAAGCCTTGATGATTGTGCAAGGCCTTAGGGATTTCCACTAATTGTCTGCTACTTTCACAACTCCTGCTGGCTGTCATCATAAACCTGTAATTCACAGCTTCATTCTACATACTGCTTTTCATTTTAGGATTTTCTTTAATACAGAAGGCTTTGTAATTGCGCTTTTTTTAAAAAAAAAAAAAGTTAATCCATTGCTAATGAACCTCTCTCCATTGTTTAATTACTCTAATAAATTATGCAGCAGGCGTGTGTGGAAAATGTACTGGTGCATACAAAACCTGTCCATCCTGAATGCCCTGTCTAAGGAAATCTTTCAAGCACGTCATTAAAGCATCTACTGCTGCAGTTAAAATTACAGTTAACGAACATTGATCATATTTGTCGTCAAGAGACACATTCTGCCAGCCCTGCTGAGGTACCAGCAATCAGCTCAGTAAGGTTAAGGTCTTGCATACAGAATTTGTGTGAATATATAGGAAGTTTTGGGGCAGTGGCACTGAGCATTGGGGTCAGTTATAAATGTGGGGAGGTTAGCAACAGGTGCTGACTACTTTGACAACAGAAAATTGCCTTTTCTAAAGTTCAGCAAGGTGATGTACAGGAAAAGTTGATGCTCAGGGGGTCAAAGTGCCTCACCAGTCGTAGACGAAAAGGAAATTCTGAAGACAGCAGTAGAAGAAAGCTGACTGGTCATGAATTCCCAACTTCCAAGTTCCCAAACATATTTAAAATTTATGTTTCCCTTAATCAAATGGTCTTTCCTCCCTGTAGACTTGTAAGAACTGCTTCCTGACAGAGCATCTATGAAATCAGTAGTCAGCCCTTAAAAAGGGAAGTGGCCTTCTGCGTCCAGCACTGTCCAAGGGCCCTGACGATTTGACTCCCTGTATTTGGAAGGCATATTGTACAGCTCAACTGAGGAGACAAAAAATATCTGATCCAGTTCCAGTGAATGTCCTGTACAGTTATTATTCTTTCAAAATATTTTGAACAGTCCTGGTAAAGTGATGACTCTGTACCCATTACAAACGTTGAGTCTTTTGGCTGCATTGTTTGAATTTGGTACAAGGAGTTCCAAATCCTGTGTCATGGATCAAGGTGAAAATTTCTCTTTACATTTAGCTTCACAAATATTTCCTTTGAAATACTTGAAGCCTCCTGAACAGATTTGGTGACCAACATAGTTATTGCCCTGCTTCACAGAAACGGTTTTGCGGAAGGGTCAAGGAAAAGGCACGATGTCATGCAAAAAATCAGCATCACCTCTGAAGAACACATATGTAGAACCGCATGCTTAGTTCCTCCTGAACAAGGGCACTTTGTCTTCTCTGCCTGCTCTACCTAATTCTTTTTAGGATATGAAATCTGTATATGTATGTAGTTGTGTATGTTTGTATGTGTGTATATATACATACAAACATAGAACAAGGGGAAATGGCTTTAAACTGGGAGAGTGTAGATTTAGATGAGATATTAGGAAGAAATTCTTCACTGTGAGGGTGGTGAGACACTGGCACAGGTTGCCCAGAGAAGCTGTGGATGCTCCTCCCTGGAAGTGTTCAAGGCCAGGTTGGATGAGGCTTTGAGCAACCTGGTCTAGTGGAAGGTGTCCCTGCTGATGGCAGGGGGTTGGAACTGGATGAGCTTTAAGGTCCCTTCCAACCTATACCATTCTATGATTCTATACATACAAACACACATACATATATATATGTGCACACATACACAAACAGAAACCTGCTGAGCCTCAGATGTTTCATTCCCAGGTATCACCACCATTATTACTGCTCCCCTTTGTGCTTCTGGGATGGTTTGCAAGGGCAAATGCGAATGGGCTTCGCACCTACCTAGAGCTGCATTAGCAAAAGTGAGGGAACCAGTCTGGGTAGAGGGGGAAGCAGGAGCTCCTGAAGTGGCCACTTCTCAAACCATTGCCAACACCTTCCTGTGAAGAGCAAGTGGCAGCAGGAAGGTGCTCGTCACCTCAGCCTTCTGTGGAGTGAATTAGAAGGGGCAGAACGGGAATATCCAATAATCCTTCATGGTGGCTGTCACTGGCTTTCTTTGGTTAGAAGCATCTGGCAAGACAAGAGAGGAATTTATCTAATTCCCTTGTGTGCTGCTTCAGCCCTTTCTTTTCAAGCCCATAAAGCCTTGATAGCATCCGAGGCATTGCTCAAGAGGAAAATGCCATGCTGATCAATGTTAGCAGCATAAAATAAATGTCCCTATGCAAACCACAGATCCTGCCCCACTTTAAAGACAAATATAGGACCACTGTGTCGAGCATCTTACGTTCTTGGCTGTCAGGCTGCAATGGAATAATAAGATTCACAATTCAGGAATTAACTTCAGAACTTGAGGAGCAACACATGTGAGAGATACATTAGGGATTTTCATTTCCCGAATAGGCAACTCTAGCTATGCTGCGCTGCAACATCCATCATGTTTGCTAATCTTAGTCTGACCCCTAGTGAGCTCTCACAGAATAATCAGATTTATCTAAAATGCTGCACCTTCCTGACAGGCAGCTACCACCGACAGAAGTCATTTATCCTCTTCCCACCCTGCCCTTAAAAAAACCCCCTTGATTTCCTTTGTCAATACCATAACATAAGAAAAAGAAGAGTCAGTTCAGAAGTCATAAGGTTTTCTTCTGAAGGTGGGGGTGTGGAAGAGAACACATGACCCAGTATCAAATTCACTTAACTTACCTCTGCATATAAGGTGGTTTTACCTCCTTTTCCTCCTCCTTTTTTTTTTGTGCAATCAGGAACTGCTTTTTCAGATTTATTAGGAGGTTTTCATCTCTGAAGGAGATGAAGTGGAAGTTGCATCTAGTTAGATAATAAGTTTAAATTAACAAGCACTTGGAAAGACAAAACAGAAAGACAAAAAAAGGTGTAAGTTAAAGCACTAAACACATTTTAAAGGACCTAAATAACTTGCACAGTTTTTAAGCCATTAGAAGCTTCTAGGTTTTTGTCAGCTTTAACCTCAGCATTTTGTTCATACTGGATATTTCTTGCTCAGTGTGTTTATGCCAAGTAGTTACAGGCCAAAATACAATCACTGCATGCTTGCCTTGGCAATAACGCAAGCACAGTAAAATTTTTATGGATTTCTTTCCCTGCATGAAGATCCATTTATCAAGCACACTGACAAATTAAAAAAAGTAATTTGCCCAGCCTCTGAAATGTACCCATGAGCATTCGCATTTTTTTTTTAATTTTTTTTTTTTTAAAGCAGTGCTCTTCTGTAGCTGTAGCCAAGAGGACTATCTCAGTAACACTGCTCTCTGTCTGTGGTTTTGGTGTACTTCTGTCACCCCCAGTTTACACAAGATGTGATTTTTGACACCTGTTCCCATCTTTCTGCTCCTTACAGGCATTTTGAAGTTTGTGGAAATCACAGTTAACCTCCTGGTGCTGATTTGTGTGGGCGCTGCCCAAGCCTCCATAGCAGGTTTCACCTCCCTCGGCGGCTTCGGCACTGGATCCTTTAACCTGAATTCGGCCTATAGCCCCTTTGAGGGCACGGAGCTGCGGGAGGTGAGGGAGCTAGACATGCAGTTCACCCAGATGAGAGCCCCGTGCGTGTATGGCGGAGTAGCCTTCAGCTTAACAGCAGCAGTGCTTACCCTCGTCTTCCTCGTTGTGGGGGCAAAACCCATCCAGCAGCTCAGGACGGGGCTGCTGGCAGGCGAATGTGCCTTCAGCCTGCTGGCTGGCGTGGCATATGTGACAGCAGTCGGCCTCTACCTGCATTTCATCAGCCAGGTGAACTCCACAGAAGTTTGCAAGAGGCGCGAGAGGCTGTACTCGCGCCGTGGTTATACCTCCATGAACTGCGTGGTTCAGGGCGGCGATGCGGCCGTCGGCCTTTTTGGTGTCGCTGCCGCCTGTTTGTACTTCGCCAGCTTTGTGGTCTGCATCCGTGCTATCCGAACCATCCGGGCTTTCCAGAGCCACGCGGCCCAGACTCAGCACAGCCCCAAAAGCAACATGAGAGACAGAAGCAGCAGAAACCACCATGCTGTCCACAGGACCTCTGAAAGCTCCCACAATGTCCACGCTCTTGCCACATTAGTGTGAAGTCAGCTCTTGGACCGTGCCAGAGAGCTGGAGCTTCACCAAGGGACAGACACTGGACAACGCGTGCTAAACAGGAGAGCAGCCTTGGAGTGTATTGAATCACCAATGTAACAATACTGCTATAACACCAGGTAATAAAATTGACACTGAGCAGATGTTTTAACAAGGTTTTTTTGCTTCAGTCTCTCAAGCTGGACTCTTGCATTTAAAATATGTTTGAGTGTAATATTTTCATCCTGCACAGAACAAACCCAAACAGCAATGGGCTGTAAACAGGCTGCAACCACAGTGGTGCCAAACTGGTGCTACCAACCACTTCCTTTCCTCTCCTATGACATAAGGAATTGAATACAGAGCTGGGATGAGCAGCCTTCACCAGATCCTGTGCCTGTCGATGCGCCCTATTGCCTTACGCCACGCCGCTCACAACGCAAAGGAGACTCGAGTGCTTTTCTGAATCACAGCCCAAGCTACGCTTGTGGCCTGTTTCACTTGGGCTAGCGAAGCGTTTGATCCTTTGGAGCCATGGGGGCTGACACACGCGGATCATGTGCTCCCTGGGGAATGCTCTGGGAGGAACTAGCTGCAATTTCAAAGGCAGCGCTTGGGTCCTCCTCCAGTTCCCTACTACGTTTTCCCCCATCTCACTGAGCCCAGAGCAGAACCCGAGAGACAGCACACTGGTCAGCTACCATCAGCTTAGTAAAGAAACCGCTTGCTTCTGTAACCACCTAAACAAGGTTTGGCTTGCTGACTCCACAGCCAGTGGTGGGCAGAGCCAGGGTCTGGAACACGCTGGCTGCCCCCGAGTTTTCCATGGGAGCTGTAACAATAACAGACAAAGTACATGCATCGTTCCAGTATATAAACACGCAAAGCATGAGTGAACAGCAGTAATTGTATGCCCCCGGGACTGAGAATAAATTGAAGAGAACATCTTTCAAGAGTCCTTTGTTTGAGGCAGCTGAAATAGATCACTGGTCTTCATAGATAAAGCAGTGATGAAAAAAAGGCTCTTCTTGAAGTACATAAGATTTGTCAGCCTGAGAGGAGGGAAGAGGCAGTTTTGATTCTGGCTGTGCTTTCTTTTCAGTTTTGTCTGGCTCACAGTCATTGCCCAGATGAGGCTCTTTTGAACCATAGTAGAGCTTATTTATTGTATGCTTTGTATATATACACACAGATCTCAAAGGATTATGTTTGAGGCAATATAAGCCAAACAAGAAAATGTTTATGGTTCTGATTAGAAATGATTACATGAGCCTTTACAATAAGTGTTTATCATTTATATAATACCTTAACCATCTCTTTAACAATTTGAGCATCAACAATCTTTGTAGTATTATTATGCTTATGAGGAGACATAAGTGAAGAGTTTTTCCAAATTGCCATGACTCACACTAGTGAGAGAGTCAGGAAACTAGAAGCCTTTTATTTCTAGCTCTTTGCCCAAAACCTGCCCTTCACTGGCAGGCTGTGATCAGCTGGGAAGCCTGTTACAAGGATGTCGGGCACACAGCTAACGCCGCAGCTAACCACTCGTGAGGTGTTTCTGCCTGCATGCTTGTTCCTGCACTACCTCTCCATCTTGCATGTTTTGAATGCAGGCTTGGTGACATGATGACACACTGTTATTAACTTATACAAACAACAAAAATCAGCACCTTGAAGTGACACTTTTGAAAGATTAGAAAGGGCTGCAGATAAGAATGTGTAAATCTTAATTCAGTCCTTGAATACGTGTACAATATGGATTTTAATCTCAAGGGTTCTTACTCTGCCATGCTCGTTTTTGAATGCTCGCCTGCCATTGCTATAATAGTCCTCTGTGAGCATCGATTCTGTCTCCCTTGTGTACGTGGTAAAGGCTTTATTTGTTATAAGATAATTCAGTCGTTAGAAAAAAGTGTGTGGTTTCCCTGTGGACTATTGCTGTAATGTTCCTTCCTTGGACACTTGGGTTCTCCACAGTCAATCCATTTCAGGTCCCTTTCCTGTTAACAGGAGCAATTCTATTCATTTTACAGGGAGAGTCAAGAAGTGGCTGCCAGTTACAGGTGCTTGGTTGGGGATTCCTAAGGCCTGCTCACTGCCCCGAGCGTCTGGTCAGTCCCAGTCATGTTCTCTCAGCTCCTCACCCAGCTGCCTCCCTGCAGTCATCATCCCCTTGTATTTCTAACCTCTGCAGCCTCAACTTTAATCCTTGTATCTAGTCTAAATTTAATCTCAGTCCCTCTTTGGTGTGAGGGATTCTCAGGGTGTACCCAGTTTGTCCACTGTGACCACCGTCAATTTATTACCTGCTGTGAGGGAAACAGTGACAGCAAAGGTTGAATCTGAGCTTCCCTGAGGTCATCTTGTGGGTAGACAGTATGGCCTCTCTCAACCTAAAAGCCTTGGGAGCCCCACCTCTGGTGCAGTAGGAATCATTGAATCATAGAAAGATTTGGGTTGGAAGGGACCTTAAAGATCATCTGGTTCCAATCCCCCTGTCATGAGCAGGGACACCTTCCACTAGACCAAGTTGCTCAAAGCCTCGTCCAATCTGGCCTTGAACACTTGCAGGGAGGAGCAGCCACAGCTTCTCTGGGCAACCTGTGCCAGTGTCTCACCACCCTCACAGGAAATAATTTCTTCCTAATATCTAATCTAAACCTGCCCTCTTCCAGTTTCAAGCCATTACCCCTTGTTCTGTCACTACCTGCCCTTGAAAAAAGTCCCTCCTCAGGAAGCCCTCTGGCATGCTGAGCTTATTCTGAACCTTCAAAAAGAGGAATAAAATGGCCTGGAGATGCCAGGGAATGGAGGCAGGTTGCAGGGTGAACTAGAGCTGCCTGGCAGGAGAAGAACCTCACCGCAGAAGATGGATCACTGGTGCAAGGTGCTAGGGTGAGTTGAGTAGCTCAGTTACCTCGGAGTTACCTGTGAGACTCTCAGCCAGCCCCCTTTGGGTCTGAACCATCAATTTGCACTTGTCATCTTCAAGACAGGAGCAAACAGCTTTAGTCAGTCTGAGAGCAAAACCTCCAGCTGAGCTCAGCAGCCATTAATTATCCACAAAGGAGCCCCCTGCCCATAGAAGAGCCTTGGAGAGAGACAATCTCTCTTTGACAAGATGTCTCTCTATGCCCTGATTCTGAGAGGGAAACAAAGGGTGTAAGATATTTAGGATGACTATATTTAAAACAAAAACAAAAAACCCCCAACAAACCAACAACAATAACAAAAAACAGGAAAGAAAAAAATGCACCCTCCCACTTCTGTGTCCCACCACTGAGTAAACTGCCATGAAATTTTCATCATGGTGGAGCTTTCATGTACCTTTGAGCATTCATATTCCTGAATGTCTCCTTTTATTCAAATAATGGTTCAGAAAAGTAGTTCAGTTTGGGGGAAATCTTTTCCACAACAGAGCAAATCAGTATCCAAAGATGCAGGCATCTTGTTTCAATGTAAGAGGCAAAATGGAATGTGGATGGGGAAGAGAGAGGATATTTACTCCTCCAAATAGAATAGGCTTAACATAACCTTTACATTTCCCAAATAATTCAGTTACCTGGAATTGTAAATCCAGCACTGCTGGAAGATCTGCAGGCGTTAGGGCACTGTCCTCCTGCTGCTGACCAGCTGTAAGGAGGAGGGACCTTTGTACATCCACAGAAAGGGAATTCTCAAGCAAGCATCAACAACAAGCTTTCTTATTTTCTTCATGTGTTTAAGGCAATGTTCCCAGAATATATTAAATTTTATGATGATTCAGGCTTTTTTCCATTAGTCCTTCAGAACAGTTTGAGTGTATCTGATGTGGAGAAAGAACTAGGGACACAAACTGGTTGTGCAACAGCAGAAACTGAATTCAAGGCTTAGCGTTAAGAAAAGCTGGGATCTCAGTTTACAAGAGAAACTGCTTGAAAGCGATGAGAATACATCCAGGGATCAGAGTACCAAAGAACAGTCTGAATGGAAATTGTTCTTTTGTAATCCAGGTATTTTACTCCCAGTGCAGATTTCTCTTCATTAAAGTTACTCCTCTGGTAATTTCCCACCACAATTTACATTCACCGCCAGTTCAGTAAAGCTACAGATGCACAACAGGCCTTCGGTAACCCCGATCTCTCACCTACACGTGCACAACTTGCTTGTCTGCTTTTCTTTTTCAGACTCAGGTAAATTATTGAAGGGGACTGTGAGCACGTTGTTTATGACAGCTGTGACATTTGCCATTACTCATCTCCCTCACAACACCCATCTCCGAGGAGAGGTGGTGCTCCGTGTATTTGCAGCAGCTTAATGCCAGCACAGCATAAGAAAGTGTCACAGATGCTCACCATCACCCGGCATAAATAAAACATGAGACTCCTCGCAAGGTCCGTAGGCTGTCAGGGCATTTGCTGTAATTGGTTTTGGCGTGTGACAGGGCAAAACGGGCAAGTCACAGGATGCCCTTCATTACTAGAAATGGTCTGTAGATTTCCAGCAATGCCATTTGCACACAGACCTGCACCTGCTACCGGACTTCCCGAAACTCCCAGGCTTTGTTGAGGAGCTCGAGGGAGGGGAAGGCATGCATGCATTTCACAGGTAATTAGTTTTTCGGAAGGATATAGAAAAGCTCGTCAGACAGACACACGCAGTAAGGACATAATGTTTTAAACAGGCTTTAGGAAACTCAGTTATGGTTTGGATAGGTTATTTTCAACACTACAAGAGAACCTGTATAACAGAAGTGTTTAAGCATCCATATGAAAATAATGAATTTTTACCATCCCATACTGACTTCCAAGATAAATACGGGTGACAGAAGTGCAGGAGGAAAAAAGTGAAGAGCTTGAACTTGCCCAGCTGTTTAGTGAAAACTGGAATGTCATCAGCTGTGAAGATGCTTTGTGCACTGCATATACATTACTCATAGGCTTCCCACCGTACCCAGATTTACAGATTTAAGCGCAGCTTTGTACTATCATCTGCACACCCACACCGCAGCAGCCCGTATCTGCAAG